TGTATGTCGATTGCTGTGAGTATTGGATGTACCTTGCTGTCGTCAAAGCCTTTTAGGTATGCAAAGTCCAGTTGTATGATTGGCATTGCGCTCTGTTGCTTCGGGTGATTGTTTGCCCGACCGCGAGCCTGTACGCATGTTGGACACCGGCTCCTGTATATAAGGAGTGTCACATTGTGTTCTAGTGTCTCTTGTGGTGTAGGCTGTTTTGGTGCTTGTACTGCTCGAGCCTTTCTTCCTTGTTGCTGTTCTTCGTCGTCTGATTCCAGTTGTGCCGGGTACTGCTCTTGTTCTTCGAAGTTTGTCCAGCCAGTCCAAGATGTGTCGTGTGTCTTTGATTGTTCTGTTGTCCATTCGTCCTGTACTAGCTTGATGCTTCCTCCTGCTGTTGGTTGTATCTTTGTCAGCCTGTACGTGCTCAGCTTAGAGACGTCTGGTCCACCGTCTGTTTGCTCTGGTAGGTAGTAGGACGTGCGTGGTTGTACGTGGACTCGCTTCCAGTATGGTCCTTCTCTGTACCAGCAGTCTCCACCGGGTTGTAGTTGTGATGGATGTGGGATTCCTTGTCCTGTCCCAGTCGTGTCTGTCTGCTGCTGTTGTATTGCTTGTGGTGGTTGCTTTCCTGTTATCCTCCTTTGTGGTTTGTATTGTATGACTTGTGGTGTGACTCTCGATGTTGTGATCTGTTTCTGCTGAGATTGCTGCTGTCTTGCTGCCAGTCGCTGTTGTAGTGGGTCTGGCAGTGTTGTACCTTTCTTCAACCTGACTCCTTTCCAAAGTGTTGGCTGTGCCTGGTTTGGATTGTCTAGAACTCTGTTGCGAACCATGGTGGGCAGACATGTGTAGCTGCTCCACTATCGATCATGAGATCGATGTATCTGTTGTTTGTACCTTCTTGTTGTTGCGCCGTTGCTGTAGCAATGATGACTTCTTCAAGTCCAGAGACTATCAAAGGCATCTGTTCATTGCCTTGTTGTATTGCTAGTTGTTGTTGGTTGGGATGCAGCTGTGTCTGGTCAATGTGGTTTCCATCGTAGTGATTGTTGTGGTACCAGTCATCTGTGACGTCGTCCTTTTCCTTTTCCTTTGTTGTTGTATCCGCCTCTGAACGGATTTCCTTGCCCTATCGGCTGATTGTATCTGTTGTCTCCTTTTCCTCCTTTGTGATTGTTGTAGCTGCCGTAGCCGCCGTAGCCCTTTCCTTTGTTGTACTTTCCTTTTTTCTTTCCTTTTCCTTTCTTGCCCTTTCCTTTGTTGCACCATGTGGCTCCTATGTCCATTGGTGTCGGACCTTGGTTGTCGCTGCTCGTTGCCGCTTGTAGCTTGACAAATTGTGATGCTGCTCTGTGGTACTCCACAACCAATGATCTGATTTGTGCATAGGTTGTAATGTTGCCTGCTTGTAGTTGCAAATGCTGCTGTAGTGGGCCTTTTGTCTCGTTGAGCAGGATTGCAATCTTGATTGCATCCGGTAGTAGTGTTCTGTTGTCTTGTTCGTACTTGGCGAGTTGAAACTTATGTTGTAAAGCTCTCCTCGAACTTGTTTTCATCCAGTTGTGGTTTGAGTAGCTTGGTGAGGTATCCAATGCTTCTTGCACCAAGTGGCAGCGCGTAGCGTAGATGTAGTGTGTATGTATGTATGCAATGTATGTATGTATGCATGTATGTATGTAATGTAATGTAATGTTATGTTATGTCATGTATGTATGTATGTATGTTAGTATGTTAGTATGTTAGTATGTTATGTATGTATGGAACGCAATGTAATGTAATGTAACGTAACGTAATGTAATGTAATGTACTGTAATGTATGTATGTCTGCATGTATGTATGCATGTGTGTATGTTTCCCTTTCATTTCCCGCTGCTTTCTTGCCGTGTCAACTTCCTATTTCCTCCCCTCATTTCCTTGCACTTCCTTGCGTTTCCCCTTTGCTCCCGCAAAAATCACGGTTTTTCCAGCGTTTTCGCAAAGAGGACGTCCAAAAACACAGAGTTTTTCCAGATGTTCGGCAAAAGGAGGCAGGAAGCCCAAGCCAGCAAAAGAGCCGGCAGGGGGAATCGAGCCTGGGACCCTTGTTTTGCGACACCGTTTAGTGGAACGTCATCAAATTGCCGTGCGGCACGTGCCCCCCCCCCTCAAAAAATCCTGCGTATTTGACGTCGGGTTGGGGAGGGGGGAATGGGGGGGGTATCGTCTATCCTCTAGTAAGTATCCGACACGCCGAACAATGTCGGCGGATTCATACAGAAAGAGAGAGACAGAGAGAGAGAGAATGAGAGAGAGAAGAGAAAGAAGTAACAGAAATAGAGCGAAAGGCAGAAAGAGACAAATAAAGAAAAAACGGCCGTAAACCAGCCTCAAAGCAACCTTATAATAATCGTAAACCAGCCCTAAACCAACCCTAAACCAACTGGGTTTGAGTCTCCAATTGATTTAATATTGCTGGAGCCTCCTTTTGAGATTGGACCTGGGGATTCCTTGGTTTATTCTTGGTGGATTTGAGTTTATGGAAGCTTTTTTTGCGGGCCCCTAAATAGTGCTTTTTCCAACCCCAAGTACTACACCCTTTGTAGGGTTGATTCACACGAGCGTGTAAAGAATTTGCGGTTTGGACGAATCGAGGATTGTGATGGGGGATGGGATGGGATATGGGTGGGATGGATGGATGGATGGATGGAGTGGTGGGTGGACGGATGGCATGGATCGCACGTGCGTGAGTGCGGCACGCTCGTCATCGGACTGGCTTGACTGCGGGATGCGCAACGGAGCACCAGTCATGCTACTGCGTTTCACACGCAGCGTCTTATGACAAGTATTGCACAAGTGCAGACATGTAGATGTTTACCGAAGATCATCAAGTGGTTCAAGAGAAACGGAGCCCAAGCCATGACTTCATGGTAGCGGAGCTCTTGGACACGATCAGGGACAAGTCCGCGCGCAAGGGACAAGTCCTATACAGGAGGAGGATCGCAGCCCCGAGAGCGGGGAACTGGGTATGGAGAGGTGGCGCGGAGGAACGAGCAGGGAGTGCTCAGCAGTTCTAGAGGCTGGAGGATTGGGCGCTTGAGAACCAAGGTCTGGCGGCGGAGAAGGGCGGCTTGGCGGGAGTGCTTCAGGCATTGAGCCAATTGCCGGAGGCCTTTGAGAAGATGAGCAGAAGAGGAGGAGGCGGCATAGGGTCTTGAGAGCCGCACATTCTTGAAGATGGAGCTGAAGATCGGTTCCGGGTCTGGAGCTGGAGGACTACGTGGCTGGCGTCATAGGCGGAAAGACTTGGGAGGTGCTGGAATGGGCGGCCAAGCAGGAGAACAACATCACGGGACAGTTCGGGGCGGCTGCTGTTCTCATTGATCAATGGGATGAGGCGCGCGACATGAACCAGCTGTACACCATCCTCACGGCCACTGCGGTCTTCGATTTGGTGGAGTTTGACCCGGCCACGGGAGGCCGGAAGAGGCCAAGCCCTCACGAGCCCGGAGAGGAGCTCGTACGAGAACCTCGGCAGCGCCCTGGAACGCTGGAAGAGTCTGCGAAGCCGCTATGATCGCAAGAAAGATCAATTCGGGAAGCGCGAGGCGTTTCCAGACAGTCTCGCTGTACTGCGACAAGCGCATGACCGATCGTGGAGGAGAATGGCATCTACAACTTCTACCTCGAGCTGGATGAAGAGTAGAGCTTGGAGGAGCAGGTCGCTGGCTGGGCGGAGAAGTATGTTCCAGCGCGAGCGAGGAGTTGAAAATCAAGCCAAAGGCGGGCGTTGGAGGATGAGGCTGAGGCGCCGCAAGATGGCCCGGAGGAGCTGGTAGAGGCCCGACCTGTTCACGCAAAATTCAGACCGCCACAGCCTAGCGAGCGTGAGAGAGCGCGAGGCAAGTGAACACGCGGTCTACCGGAGTTGGTGCGAGATGTGCGTCAAGGCGGCAGGACTCGTCCAGAAGCACGTCAAGGCGGGCCATGAAGGCGAGGGCCCCAACATGTCGACGGTGAGCCTCGACTACTTCTACATGGGCGAGACTGAGGGGGCGAAGCCGAACATCGTGGCACGCGACTGGGAGACCGGCTTGATGGCCGCAACCTCCATCAAGACGAAAGGGTTGGTGGATGCAACAGCCCAGAAGATGATGACCAGGTTCTTGGAGAGCTTGGGCTATAAGGAGGTGGTTCTCAAAATCGATGGAGAAGGGAGCCTGGTGAAGATGAATGGAGGCAGCGAAGAAGGCGAGAGGATTGATGAGAGCAGCGTGAGAGGAATCGCCAGCAGGAGATTCACGCTCTGGTGACCCGTTGACAAGAAAGTCGGTGACGTAAACGGTGATCAAGAATGGGGGGCGCACCGTGATGGCGCGAGGTGTGTCGCAGAAGATCGTGGCGTTGAGCAGCTGCGAGAGCGAGTACTGGAACGCGCTGGCTTTCTACATGGGTGAGAAGGTCCCTGTGGTGAAGATGCTGGTGGACAGCTCTGCGGCGAAAGCCATGTTGGAGAGGAAGGGCGTCGGCAAGACGCGGCACGTGCAGGCCCGGTTCCTTTGGCTGCAGGACCGGGTGGCGGAGAAGGAGCTCAAGGTGGAGAAGACACCTGGGGCGGTGAACGATGCGGACATCGTGACCAAGGTCCAGACGGGCGGCATTTTGAGAAGCCATCTTGCCCGGCTGGGCTATGAGCTGAGTGACAGTACAGGTCACAAAGCTCTCTTTTCCTAAAGGTGAGATGCACCTCAGGCTGAAACGGGCCTTCGCTGCACAGGGGGTGCAGACATGTAGATGTTTACAGAAGATCATCAAGTGGTTCAAGAGAAAAGGAGCCCAAGCCATGACTTCAACAAGACTTCCTACATTGCTGAAAGGGATTTGATATACCTGGAATTCCGCAACACAAGCCTTCCCCAAATTCCGAAGACAAGCACCCCGCCACCCTTGCAATCGGGGCGGTCTCCCAGAAGGAAAAAACTGGTTGGGCAATGTAGGGCAACCCAATGCGTTGCATGTGACAAGCCAAGGACATGCTGTCAAGTGGCAATATCCCAGATCTCTTTGCCCGCGAGGAGCCATTTGCTCAGGGCACCACTTGTGGAACGTTTGCGGGCTGCCGTCCTGGCAGAGCGAGAGACAGAGAGAGAGAGAGAGAGAGAGAGAGAAAGAAAACCAACAGTTCTTGGACAGCTAAACGCTGTTACTGCTTCACACGCGGGATGCTAGTGTCGAGACCCTTAGCAGTCACAGGCGTCACTAAAGAAGCACGCAGCGTGTCTACATGACAGGCGGTCACTAATTTTGAGGGGCCAGTAGGAACAAGGACCCACGTGGCACTGGGATGCAAAGTCTGAGAAATGTGAGGGGTCACAGCAGCTACAGGAACAATCGCCCGGATGTTTGGTCACGTTTGGAGGGTGCCAAATGGATCAGTTCAACTAGAGAGTAGCCAAATTCATCTGAGTTGCCGCCAGCATCACCTTGGTAGGAAGCGAAACCCTTGGTTTGCTACAAGTGTGCAGCGCTTTCTAGACCAGATTGGTCGACACCAGCATCACGACATGGATGTGTGCGCTTCAAGCACCACCGCACCGCCGGGTGGGAAGCCGGGAGTTTTCAAATGAAAGTGGGAAGATGTCCACGCAGGAATACGACAACATCTTCTCTGCGATCCGCAACGCTGCAAAGTTTGCGGGCTATGCAGATGACAGAGAGCCACTTGGCAAGGTATGCAAGACTCTTTCAAGTCTCGAGCAGAAACCGCAAATGTTTGACGTTGGATTGAATCTGTTGAATGCCCGCATTTGACAGCATAGCTTGGATTAATTGAACAGACTCTCCGATTGATCATGCAATGAGTGCATCCATGCCAGAAGATTGGCGGGCGTGAGCCTGCGCAGCTTCAACTGGCTTATCGTGCTGAGACGGGCGTTCCAAGGATCGTATTGAGATATGTATTAGGCTGCTTGCATGTGTCAATGTCGTAGGCCGGTAGACATACTCCAGTGCAAGTCTAGGTGAGCCCAAACGCCTTTAAGGCTTGCGTGTAGAATGGGGACCCTGTTTGATGCAACTGGCGTGATGTTTGAGTATGAGGTGATCTATCGGGCATTGATTGGGAGAATCACAGAGTGGTTCACATTGGGCCACACATCCAAGGGCACTGTTCCAGTACTTCTTGGACAAGGTACGTCAGGCGCTCAGCCCAAAGGACCAAAGGATGAACGACAAGAGCGAAGACTTTTCAGTCGGAGTCGGATGAGTCGGATGAGTCGCATGAGTCGGAGTCGCATTGGAGTCAGAGTTGAGCGAGGCTCAAACCTGCACCTGGTGCTGTGCCACTCCCCGGTGGGCTCCACTTTCCGCGTGCGCGGCCGCAAGTTCCCAGCCCCAACCCAAGTTTCGAGTCTCGGGAAACGGATTCGAGACGTGTGAAGTGTGTGGAAGTGTGTCGAAGTGCGTGACCTGTGTTCGCGCCTGTAGGCATTGATCAGCTGCATGTGCCTGGACGTCTTTCACCCTTGGCCCCGTGATGCCTTGGTCGGTGTCGCCGAGCGCTTCATGGAGGTCCTGCAAGAAAAGAACATCCAAAACGAGGAGGGATCCGACGCGAGACGCGCGGGAGTCAAGCGGTCGGTGTCACAGGAGGTGCTGGCCAGCATTGCCCAGCACTCCGCAGAGGTGCACGTGTCCGTCTACAAGGCGCGGAAGTCCCAATCCGGAAATCCGGAAATCCGGAAATCCGACAGCTTGAATTTGGCGCAGGCCAACCAGCGATACCTTGATGAAGAACGCCGCTACAACTCAACGACGCCCAAGTCCTTCCTGGAGCTCATCAGCTTCTACGTGACTTTACACGTTGTTGATCTGGTATGCGCAAAGCATGGGCGAATTGGAACCGCGAGCGCAGGAAAGAAACTGCTCGCACTGCGTATGTGGTTCACGGTTTGCATTCAATGATGTTCAATTAGCTTGGGTCAACTGAGGTGAGAATGCTCACTGAGAAGCAAGCCAGTGTGGACTACAATGTATCAAGATTGGAAAGGGGGCTGAACATCATGCGTGATGCGCAGTCCTGAGTGTGTACTTGGCCAGCTTGTCCTTGGCTCTGCTTTGCCAATTCATGAGGTGCAAAATGGGGTGGCGGACCTCAAGAAAGATTTGGAAGTGACCCTAGTCCAGGCGGATCGATCTTATTTCGCTTATAAATGTATCGAGCAGCGAGAGCATCGAGAGACTGTGTGCGAAGGTGGACGAGAAGAAAATCTCCACCGAGGAGCTCATCAAGCAGGCGGGACTCCGATGGACTGCGGACTCGGGACTGGGTGAGGTCGGCCAGAGCCTTTGGAGCCTTAGAGCCTTACGCTTTATAGCCTTTGGCCGCTTTGGCCGTAGGTGACTGTGGCATCCGCCGCTGCTGCGGTCGAAAGGGAGGCAGCGCGTGGCTAGCCCAGTTGAAATCGCTGATTCATGTATATGCAGAAATATCTTCAAGAAAAACACACATTCACCAGGGTACAACTTGCACAGGAAATGTTAGAGAAACTTTCAACAAATGCTCAACTGAGATCTTTCTTTTCTGTCTCAACGATTTCTGAGGCCAGGAGCAGGGGAAATGTGAGGCTCTGGCCACAGAGGCGCAGCGGATGAAGATGGAGGCGCAAATCCCGAGTTCCGTGCGCAACGCGTCTGAAGTACTCGAAACGCGGAGAACGCTCGTATGCTCAAGCCGCTTGATTTTCCAAGTTCCAAGTGCGCTTTGGAGGCGGACCACGAGCTGAACGATGCCCTGCCGGCCATGGAGAAGGCAGCTGCATCTCGTATTCGCGCGTGCGTGCATGTTTCTCCGAGGCCGCGGCAGCTGTGGACTGTCTGGACAAGGCAGGGTCGGACAAATACCGCTAAGACGTGTCGCACGAACTCCTTTCTGCTCGTTTCAATTTCTTGGAACGTCTCGACGTGTTTCACGTCTTGACGTCACGTCGCTTGACGTCGCTCGAGGCCTCCATCCAGGAGCTGAAGGCTTTCCCAAAGCCGCCCCATGAATGCATCGACGTGGTGGCCGCCTGCGGCTTCTTGCTCAAGCAGGAAGTGCGGCATATGGACGCATGGACGCGCAAAATGCATAGACGTGCAGGGCAACTTGGGCTTGGCTTCAACGTGCATTGCTCTTGAGTCGAGAGCTCTTGACAGATGTGGAATTTGGCTTGGAGCATGTCCCGGCACAGGCATAGCATGCATGGCATGCAGAGCATGGCGTGAGAGGAGAAGCGAAAGCTTGACTGGAAGGGCTGCCAGAAGATGATGCAATCTCCTCAACAGAGCCTTGGCTGCATGTGCCGCAGACGCAGCCAGCTCTCCGCTTTGGATTGCGAGGTTTATCGATGATGTGAAATCCTTTAATGCTGAAGAAATCCCAGAGCAGGCAGTGAGAGATAGTGAGAGCGTGAAGTTTCCAAACTGACCATGTTCGGCCATATTTCAGGTGTTGGCAAACACAGACGCTCTCATAGGCGGATGGCAGAACTGAGAGTTGTGTACTGAAAGATGCACAGAGACTGCAAAGAGGCTGCAAAGAGGCTGCAAAGAGATTGCAAAGAGACTGCAAAGAGTCCATGTTGCGCAGCTTTGCCCTTCTTCAACTTCGAGTCTATGAAGAGCAAAAGCGTCGCAGTTTGGGCCTCAAGTCTCACGAGATCTGAGCAAAGCGTTTGACGCATTTTTCAAGGCTGCTTACCTCACCAACTGGGTGGTGAACATCGTCACCTACAACAAGATCTACACCAAGGCCTCGTGGCTGTTGCTGTCACGGGCTTCTCAACTAGAATGCTTTTGAATAGCGTGTCTCAGAACTCTGTCTTGCGTTTGTGTGTTGCACGTGTTTCTGCTTCTATGATATTTCTATATGTTTCTATACGTTTCTATCCGTGTCTGTTTCGTTCTTTCGGATTTCGGAGGTGGCCCCTCTGATGGAGAAGGTCCGGGTGGCCAACGAGACCACGGAGAGCGCCAAGCTGCAGCTCCGGGAGGCGAAAGGAAAAGGAAAAAAGTTTCAAAAGAAAGAACGGCAAAAGCCACGCGAAACCACGCGAGAAAAAAAAGAACGGCGTAAAAGACGACGTAAAACGGGAAGTGCAACAGCCAGGAATAGTGACAGGGAGAACTAAAGTGATGTCGACGTCGAGAGCATTTTCACGTTCGTTTTTCAGGTGGAGAGTCGCGTGGAGGCCGTGGAGGCGTCCTTTTCTTTTTTGCCAAAAATTCGACAGTCGAAATCGGTTTGGTCCAATAGGCGAACTGCGCAGAGCTGGACCAGCAGCTGAGCAACGCGTTGCTGGACAAAGATACCATGGAGCGCCAGGAGCGATGTGCGATGTGTTTGGCCGTCTGGCAGCCGTCTGGCAGCCGTCTGGCAGCCGTTTGGCAGCCGTTTGGCAGCCGTCTGGCAGCCGTCGGCGTGTTCTGATGTTCTGGACTTGACAATTGAATACAATTGACATCTCTCGGCTCAGGCAGCCAGCTGTGTGCAGCGGCTGAGCACTGCAGAGCGCTTGGTGTCGGGCCTCCATGAGGAGAACGAGCGCCCGGGCCTATCGCGAGAGCACATTGTCTAATTCTCTCAGTGAAATCAAGACTGCCAGCTCACTGCGTAGCAGTTCGGTTCAAAAGGCTGAACATCCCGCATGCGTTCTGCCGTTCTGCCCCATCCAGTGCACACCGATGGCCCTCTCCGCTTTGGACTCAAGGACTGGCTGAACAAGTGCTCCACGGAAGGTGATCGGAGGCAGTGGCAGCGAGGCGGTGACAAAGACCTCAAGGGCTCCGAGGAATTTCTTGTTCGCCAAAAGAGAACCTGGAGAAAGCTGAAGACAGAACTGTGTGGTCTTGCAAGGCGAACAAAAAGATGCTTGCGAAAGATTTCTTGCAATTCCTACATAAGCCCAGGGTCATTAGAATCTTCAAGGACAATGAGCTTCAGATCCAGCATGTTTCAGTTCCTGCTCAGGGGATCCGGTAGCCGAGGGATTGTCTGGCATTGTCCCAAGAGCTGTGACGATTGGAGCAGATTTGGAGACGCCTTTTGTGTGGGAGAGCACGGAACAAAAAACCTTTGCTCGAGCGGATGGAGCCACGGGGCAGGCTGAGATGGATGGGCCATACGGCAGCATACGGCAGCATACGGCAGCCAAAAAGAAAGCGAATCGATGACTTTGGGGGCGGACCATTCGATGACTTTGAATGGCTTGTCCTCTCAGGTTGGGCCAGTACCGTGGTGGACCTTCGCGACCTGGGGATTCGTCTCATAGGCGAAAGTCTTTCCAAATTGGGATTCGAATCGATTTCGAAGTTGCGAATTGCGCCTCTTTTCAGGCAACTGCATGCTGGCCAGTGCCTTCGTGGGCTATGCCTCCCCGTTCTCAGCTCGCTTGCGGCAGGCGCTTGGTCTCTGCGCCATCTGCATGGCTCAAATTGCTTGCATGGCTCACAGGATCTGTGGCAGCAAGTCTGGACTTCAGATCTAAAGCGCCCCTTGGTTGCACCCGTCGCATCGCCTAAGCTTACGGGGCTAGCCCGGGCTAGCCATTCAAATGGCATATGCCCTTTGCCATCTCAGAACGGGAGATCCCAATGACCAACAACATCGACCCGCTGTCTGTGCTTGCCAGCGACGCGGATGTGGCAGGGTGGATGAATGAGGCAAGTGAATCATATTCTCATGAATTTTCATAGAGTCTAGGGTCGCGATGTTTGTGTCACGTCACGTGCATTTGACTGATGTCCCTGATGTCACACTCTCGAGGGTCTTCCAGCTGACCGGGTCTCCGTGGAGAACGCCTCCGTGGTCACCAGCTGCTCGCGCTGGCCCTTGCGAGAGCCTCACATAAGCCTTCGATGAAAATCTTTCGATTCGGTTTCCCGGCTTTTCCAGCTTTCCCGGCTTTTCCGGCTTCCCGTTCAGCACGAACGCTTTGGATAAGAAGCAATGCTCAAACCAATGCTGCCACAAAATGCTCTCAGGTTGGGCAATACTAAAGTGCTACCAATACTAATTAATAATTGTACAAAAGGCCGTCGAGGTTGTATGAATGCTTCGCAACGCAGCAAATTCATGAGCAATGCAGTGGGCGGTTTTGGGGGTTGATGCCATACAATACGCAGTGCAACATGCAATTCTGCGCGGAGGCTCGTGGATCCCCAGCAGCAGGGAGCGCGGTGGATCAAGCAGCGTATCGGAGAGGAGCGAATCAGCGAACTTTGAATTTGCTTCGTTGGGAGCGTCAAAAATTGATTGGCGGAGAGTGAGAACCGGGATCAGGTGTCTTCCATTCTTCCATAGAATTCCTTAGTTCAAGTTCTGAGCCTGTTGAGCTTGAGCAGGAGCTGATGGTGATCCAGCTCTCAACCGTCAAATGGCTCTCACCTCAAGAAAGAGGACGCAGGCTGGACCGGACCGGTTCAGTCTGAGCATTTGCAAGGCTGGACAAGGTGATCTTTAGCGTGCAGACCGGTGGTCAGTTGCTGATCGAGGTCGGTACAGTTGGCAGGGCCATCATTTTCACGCGATCTGAGCATGTTGAGGCTCTGGCAGAAGAGATTGACGCGGTTTTGGAGCCTTTGCTCTCCCGAGCTGTGGCCATCTCAATCGCTTGCTTCAATACAGCTTTATCTCTGCGAGAGAACAAGACATGTGACGCATGTGCCTGAGGTCATCAAGAGGGGTCGCGGGCCCTTGTTTTTGAAGCTCGGACCTGACGAGATCGAGTATGACAGCAAGCAGCGGCCCTCAGATGTAGAGATATCAAGTTAGAGAGGGGGAGGGCTTGGGCATTTGCTTAGGTTCCAACTGTATTTGCAGTCCAAGCTCCCAAACCCCCACTTTCGTCCAGAGGCCGGGCCAGGGTGGGCGGGCGGGTGACGGCGTTTTCCGCGCCCAGATCTCGGCGCAGTGCACCGTGGTGAACTTCATCGTAACCCCGGAAGGCCTCGAGGATCAGATTTGCGACGACGACTTTGGATCGGTCGACTTTCGGTTTGGCCTCGAAGCTTTCGGGAGAGGAGCAGATCCTGGCGCTGGTGGTGAACTGCGAGAAGCCGCAGCTGGAGGAGGAGAAGCAGGCCTGCGAGAGCATGGGAGAGCGAGTGCACCGCAGCCCCGCCCAGATCCTGGTCCGGCGCCAGAATGAGTTCAAGGCCTTTTCCGACATCGAATATTCGGGTCGCTCGTGAAATACACGCCACCAAATGTGTGTCACTCCAAACAAATTCCCTTTGGCAAGGTGCAGCAAGTTTCTTTTGAGCAAAAGATCATTTTGGCTGCTGGTGATGCAAAGCAGTTGAGCCCCATGAAAGCTCTGACTAGCACCAAGAAACATGAGTATATGAATGAATTCCTTGACAGCATGTGACAATGTGTTCCCGTCATTCGGTTCTGGAAGAGAAAGGGTCAAGGTCAACAGAATGAGATAGAATGAGTTTCAAGTTTGGATTACAATTGCCACTATCAGGACACAGGAAGAGGTCTGTTGAGAAGTGTGATTAGCCATGCATTTCAGGTGACTACCGGCATGTTGCGATAGCAACTATCCGGTGCCACTTTGGCTCAAGTTTCATGGGTTCCGTCGCGCCTCGAATGGGCGTCGCCGAACCCCTGCGTCGACCGACGACATCTCGGGGGAGAAAGAGACCTCGGGCCGCCGTCAGGTTGGTAGGGACTATTCGTGCGGCCTGTTGTCGGTCAAGGTTGCGGGTAACTCTTTTCTTTGTTTTGGTTGTTGTTCTCTGGTGTGCGGGAAACCCTGATCTTTGGGACCGGGGATTGGTTTGCTTTTGGGGAACCTTTCTTTTGTGGCTTGTTTACCCCAACTTACCCATTGCCTGGGCACAGGCTCGTGCCCGAATCACAGGTTATCAGCCGTAGGACTTTCCTACGCGCTTGAGACCATCAACTACAAGCTCTATGACGTCGACCCCACGATCACACAGGAGTGTCGTGGATGAGAGGCCATCCGGTCTCCGCTCAGGTGAGGACTTGCCGGACTATGACTTCGAGGAATTTGAGGTAGGTTCAGCAGTTCAGGACCGCAGGGGTGAAGATCCCGATAGGGACACACCCAGAAGCCGTGGCAGGTTCACTGACGATGGAGACGATCGCATTTTCCGTCAGGCCACCGATGATGAGCAAGCACAAAGAGCTCGCCCCGATAGGAGCGGCTCTGAGTCAGGTCTCAGGCATGGACAGTTCGACTTCATCAGCATGGCGATGAACATGGCCTGCCCTCATTCGGACGACCCGGAGGCCATGCCAACCCGACCCCCAAGATCTCCTGTTGCAGGTGAATCGCAGGTCTCGGGTGAGCTCGGGGACAGGCCGCGGGGACCAGGAATGGTTCTGGCTCCGAGAGATATCTCGGGTCGATCCACCGGTTCTCAAAATCCAGGTCAGTTTGATGAGCATGAGGAGAGGAGATTCACAGGCTTCGGATACGATGCTCTGTTAGGCTGGGGCAGTAGCGCGAAGCAGGAGTCTGATGCCGATAGGCCCAGCCCTGCCGCTGCCGGGTTTGAGTTTGATAATGATGAAGATTATGCCGCATTTGCGGATCGTCGTGACGAGGAAGAAAATATGGCACGCCGAAGTGAGAGAAGCCGTGCTGCTGCAAGGCCCAGGAGTCTCTCTCGTGGAGCTGCAAGGGACCTTCGTGTTGACAGGGACACCCGGAGCGAGAGAGAGAGAGCCAGGGATAGCCGGGAAGTTCTTCGGGGTTTGGAGGCCATTCATGACCGGGAGGGACCGATAGGTCCTCCGGTGGTTGACAATACCCCGAATGTTCCCCCTTTTCCCAACGGTCCGCTGCATCAGAGAGACAAGAACGCGAACCGGGTTACTGGTTTGCCGAGAGTCACTGAACGGGCTGCCGAAGTAGTTGGCCCACGGCGCACAGACGGCCGTGTAATTTTGTTGACGGGGGGGGTGGGGGGGGGGGGGGGAATGATTATCAACGCCGCCTTCTCCTTCGTAAAGTTAGGCTTCGGAGAGAGGGAAGCATGCGCGCATAATACACACGCACACGCACCACACGCAACAACGCGTGCACACAGGTGAAGATCGTGGACTCTTGGGTGCATGCGTGTGCAGACATGCACCCACACACGCACACACACACGCCACTCATGGCGCACGCGTGCGCACGCACACAGGCACACACATGCACACTTTGTCTCAGAGTCCGCGTAGCTTCAGACCAAGGAAGGCCGCTTTGACCATGACCCCCGTGTTTTAAAAAAAATGGCACCGCAGGGAACCTTGGTTTTTACATTTCCTGTGTTCCCTTCCTTGCTCACAGGCCGCATCTTCTGCCGTTGGCTCGGCAGCCGGGGAGTTTGTTTTCTTGGGGGGCTATGGACGATGCTTCTGCTTGCGCGCTTGCTTTGACCTTCATCATCTTGTTGCGCCTGTGTCATCAAGGGCCTCCTCCTTGCCATTCTAGCAGGGACGAGGCATTGCTGCAGGTGCTGTTTACAGCTGACCCTGGCTTGCTGGACGCGCATCAAGAGATCTTTGCCTTGGACGCCTCGGCTGACCCTGTTGTGCGCTTCACGCAGGCGACAGGCTTGATCAGTCATCGGTCTCCAGTTGACTGGGCGCGACTTCCGCTACTGGTGCCTGTGCTTCGTGCTGCTGGTGTATAGACAGAAGATGGGGCCTGTCTCTCCGGTCCAATTTTTGAACAATCTGAAGCAGCTTGCTAAGCACAGGTAAATGCGTGGCAGCTGGAAGTTTGCCTGGCATAAGTTACTCCATGGCAGCTGGCAGCCTGCCACGGTCACATATGAATCGAGGTGTGTGGAAGAAGGAAACTAGTGCACTCTTCAAGTAGACGCCGGGATTTGCCAAGTGTCGATTTCGAATGGATTTACAATGGGGGAAAAACATGTTTTTCCTCATCCCACTGGAATTGACGCATAATCGAGTCATCTTGCCAACATGTGCGAAACTTCTTGTAAACAAGGGTTAAAAACCACAATGCAAGACAGTGCCTTGTTAAAACTACACGGCCGGCTATGCGCCGTGGTCCTAAGTAGTTGGGACAGGTGCGAGAGACGGTCGGCTTGCCAATGCACTCGGGATCGAGGATCGTCCGTCGATCGCTAGCCCGTTACGGCTAGATCCCAGCGACCTCGAACCGCTAAGGTCTAGCAACGAGTTCACTCCCCAATGGGGATCGGCCGCTAGGGAACGTAGTGCGAAGAGGCCATCACCCCTGGCCATAGAGACCGATAGGTCAAAGGCGAGGAGAGCTAGCCCTTCACCATTAGGTTCAACTCCGCAGGATCGCAGGATGAGGAAATGTTCGATCCCGCTGATGTTCATATCCACTCTACTCCTGAGTCTCGTGCATCAAATATTGATCCCCGATCTGGCGATAGCCGGAGAAGGGGATCCACCCCAAGTAGGCCTTCCAGGATTGATGATAGTCCTGTAGTTGACCCCAGAAGATATGCTAGAGCTGGTAGGGCTCCTGAGAGGATCGAGATATCGACTCTTCCAGCTCACAGATCCCATTCTTCTGGTGAGTCGGGCGACGCTAGGGCGAAGAGGTGTTTGATTTGCACATCCAGGAGATGCTTGAGAGGGGTGAAGTGTCTGGTTCAGTCGCGAAAGCATTCCATATTTTTGCTGACCAAATCAGGTTACTGAATGGTCAGGTGAGTTCCATGCGAAGGGATTGGAGCGACGAGAATCAGCAGACGAAGGACAGGGTTAGTCGCTTGGCCACTGAGGTTGCGACTCAGTCTGATGCCGATAGGATGCGAATGATAGTTCAGCGATTTGCCGGTGAGATCGTCCCGGATAGCAAGGCCATTGTTAGGCATGCCATCGATGAACAGGCTGAAATCGTGGATCAGAGGATCAACTTGCTTTCTAATGAAATTCGGGAATCCGTTAAGGACACTGAAATCGCTACTAGCCAGCTTCGTCAGGTCATTCAGGAGAATCATCAGGCCATCCGCAGAAGCCATGCTGCTTTTGAAGATGAGGTCCTTAAGGACTTAGACAAGCTCGAGGGGCGGATTTTCTCGGTAGAGAAGACCGTCGTCGGGCAGCGGACGCTGGCGGGTGATCTGACTGCGTTAGGGCCCGATAGGGCTACCAGCAGTGGGACAAATGCAAATTTCAGGGAATTAAATCTGAAGCTCGAGAAACTCCACGTTGAACATGACAAGCTCGCGAAGTGGGTCACCGAATCTGTTGGTGGTCTTCATGAAGAGCAGGTTGGTCTTGCTGAGCAAGTATCAAGATTGCGAAGCGGAAGGGGATCCCAGGCGGTCGATAGACCCGCGGAGCCTGATTCCCCGCAGGACTGGCACGAGGCAATTGAGGAGGTCCATCGGAAAATCCAGGATCTTTCTCGTGGATTTCACCGTCAACGTCGGGATCATGACGATGTCGTTGAGAAGGTTGAGACTGTGAACTCCCGTGTTGAGGCGTACGAGGCGAGATCGGGGATTCTAATCAAGTTATCGATGATATCAGAAGGCAGACTCGTAGCCTCCCATCGAGTAGTGATCAGGCACGGTCCGCCGTTAGGCGTGAACTCGATTCATATCGCAACACGCTGGATGCCGCAATGCGAAGAGTGACTACAGTCGAGAGCAACATTCGCACTCTGAATGGAATGAGCAACAGAGTTATGGCGCAGCTTTCTGAAATTGAAGGACACGTTGATGAGGCTGCTGACATTATGCAGGGTGTCCAGCAGAATCCTCGAGGACTCAGAGAGAGGCAGAATGTTGGGTACAACGCCTTTGCTGGACAGGGACACAGGATCAGGTCACCGACGCCTACTCGTGGCGAAGGACATGGTCGGGGTACCGATCTTTTGCTTTGCCAACTGCACCCGTTAGGGCGTGCGGACAGACATCCCATTCAGGGAAAGGGCCGACAGCAGAAGCAGAAGAGCCCTAAGACTGCCTGACAGATCACACTTCCCACCAGGACGCATGAGGGATGGCCCCTGGGCACACGTTAGGGGGGATGTTTCAGTTTCCCCGAACAGGGATGTGGGTAGAAACAGGAGCCCGAGACCTACTGCTGTCCCCGATAGAGGATCTGAGGTCAGGAATCGGCAATCAAGGGGGGAAAGGCCAATCCGCAATAGTGGAAGCGATTCTCCGAACCTCGAAAGTCC